CTGTCTGTCTGTCTGCCTGCCTGCCTGCCTGCCTGCCTGCCTGCCTGCCTGTCTGTCTGTCTGTCTGTCTGTCTGTCTGTCTGTCTGTCTGTCTGTCTGTCTGTCTGTCCGCCCGGTTCGCTAGCATAGTTGGTTAAAGCTGACTTCGCGGCGACCAGGTGACGAACTCTTTGGGGGCTTCCTTCGAAGTCGCAGTGGATCTGCCTGAGAGGCCAGAAATAATCAGCTACACACATAGAAGCCAGTAAAATAGATGAACACCCATAACTTTGACACAAAGTCAAAATAGACGAAAAATAAAGACTTTCCGCCGGATCTTACAGCGGGTGGAAACAAAGAGAAGAACAGAAAGATCTAGAACAACAGGGCAAGTGTCTTTGGTTAAAACTGTATCACTCATTTCCCAGCCCAGTAAGTGCTCAAGATTGCTACTCTGTAAATCAAGAATGGCCAATTCTTATTGCAGCTTACGACTTGCTTCTGGTCGGCGTTAGGCAAAATCTGTTTTGATGGCAGCACCACACAGAATAGACACATTTTCTGAGGCTGTCTGAAAAGCATCTTTATATGTGTATTTTATCCTATTAAATTTAAACTTTAACTAAATTTTTAACCACTCTCTCTCTCTCTCTCTCTCTCTCTCTCTCTCTCTCTCTCTCTCTCTCTCTCTCTGCAAACAAGTGGTAAATTCTTTCTTTCTTTCTTTGTCTCTCTCTCTTCTATCTCTCTCTCTCTCTCTCTCTCTCTCTCTCTCTCTCTCTCTCTCTCTCTCTAAATCTCTCTCTCTCTCTAAATCTCTCTTTTTTTCTCTATACTATTCTTCCTTTATCCGAGACAGTTAACTTTCCCATTTAGTAGCCCTAAAACGAGGGCAGCGTTTACCATTTGTGTGGTTTCTTATAATGTTACCTGACGCCCACCTCATAATGTATACCAAATCTGCTGGAGTGAAAAGGGAAGCCGACGCAGTCTAAAACACACAGAAACGCTTATTCACTAGACAGGATAACAGTTTCCTCAGAAAATCAACTAATTCCCTCTTTTGTTTTTGTTGCTGAAGAAAACTCAAAGGTTATCCTTGATTAGTTTAAATAATTCACGAACACAAAATATCATGAAACGCCCGTTTGTTTTCCAATTCCGCGTGCAACCTATGACATTTTGTAAGAGATCTAGAATCCTGAGAGGTTGATAGCAGTAAGCCGTTCTAGTAACATAAGCCTTAAATGCACTGGGTATAAATTTATTCCTACACTCTGCGGAGAAACGTCAGCTCATCCTGATCGAGCTGACAGTGCCGTATGAGTCGCGAATGGAGGAGAGCCACATGTACAAGCTCGAAAGGTACAATGACCTAGCGGCTGGTCGGAGGAGAGACGAAGCGTACACAGTAAGAATCTTCGCCGTCAAAGTAGGCGCAAGAGGTCTCGTTTCCACCTTATTGTACAATGTGATTAAACAACTAGGCTTGCGAGGAATTGAGCGCAAACGAGCACTAAAACAACTGGGCGAGGCTGCTGAGAGGGCCTCGAGCTGGCTCTGGACACAGCGGAACGTCGTGGGGGATGGGCCTCGGTGAGCTGGTCCGGGTGTCTAGTGGAAAAGAAAATCTTATCCCTCAAAGTCTATCGTGTGCGAATTGTCTGCCAGTGTCCCTCTGCCATCTGCCAACAAAGTCTAACATGTGTCCGATAAACCAACCGTAAGCTTGGCACTTGGTCGTCCAGGTAAGCTGACGGTTCTAATTATGCTACCGCAGCGACTATGTAAATACACTTTGTATCTCAGATTACCTTTTGCAAAGTCACCAATTTCGTCTTGTCCCTGTCCGATAACATCCGGTAATACGTGCAGCAGGAGAAAATCAACCCTGAGCCTCATGAACTCAGGTGGGCCCACTCTCTGAGAATGTCTAGGAGCTCGTGGGCCGAAACATTTGTCGACGAGAGATTACTTCTACTGACGATTGGTAGACTCCTGCTGTACATGCTCCCCTGTGGAGTTTCTTCTTATTCTTATTTGACCCATTATTTAAATAACCCGACCGGTGTTCTGTAACATATAAAGTCAGTATTATATCGGTCACTTGTATTTTAATTTCATTTAATTATATAATTTATGCCACCTAAGACAATATTAATTATATGCAATATTTACGACAAAACATTTTTTATTGAATTGAACTCAAAAAGGTTAATTCTCTCATTAAGAGTGCAGCATAACATGCCGAAACGAAGCCATAGTGCATCGTGACCGACTAAACAAGCCAGCAACAGACCATCTTGTCGAAGCATAATCCTTCCCCGCCAGTGTTTCCTTACACAAAGACATTTAAGGACCCCCTTCCACCCACCCTCCTCCCCCACCCCGAGAAAACCCCGTCGAATCGGACATAATACTACCAGCACCACTTTCAGAACCCTTCAGATATGAGTACCAAACATACAGACATGAATAACAACCCTACATATATGAGTACCAATTGTACAGGCATGAGTAACAACCCTACATATATGAGTACCAAACGTACATACATGAGTAACAACCCTACATATATGAGTACCAAACGTACAGGCATGAATAACAACCCTACATATATGAGTACCAAACGTACAGACATAAATAACAACCCTACATATATGAGTACCAAACGTACAGACATGAGTAACAACCCTACATATATGAGTACCAAACGTACAGACATGAGTAACAACCCTACATATATGAGTACCAAACGTACAGGCATGAATAACAACCCTACATATATGAGTACCAACGGTACAGACATAAATAGCAACCCTACATATCTGAGTACCAATTGTACAGGCATGAGTAACAACCCTACATATATGAGTACCAAACGTACAAGCATGAGTTACAACCCTACATATATGAGTACCATACGTACAGGCATGAGTAACAACGCTACATTTATGAGTACCAAACTTACAGGCATGAATAACAACCCTACATATGTGAGTACCAAACGTACAGGCATGAGTAACAACCCTACATATATGCGTACCAAACTTACAGGCAGGGACACCAAAGGTACCGACAGGAACACCAAAGGTTTAGACAAGAACACCAAACTTACAAACAGGAACACCAAACGAACAGGCAGGAGTCCTAAACTTACAGACAAGAGTGCCAAACGTACAGATTGGACTACCAAACGTACAAACAGGAGAACTAAACGTATACACAGAAACATTAGTACCAAACTTACAGACAGAAGTACCAAACGTACATAAAGGAATACCAAACGTACGAACAGTAACACCAAACAGAAGTATCAAACTTCATGAGTACCAAACTTACAAAGAAGTTACCAAACTTACAGAAGGAGTACCACACTTACGGACATGAGTACTAACCCCACAGACATAAACGCCAACCATACAGACATGTGTACCAAATATACAGACATGTGTACAAACCCTACAGACAGGAAAACCAACCCTACAGACAGGAAAACCAAACCTACAGACAGGAGAACCAAATTTACAGACAGGAGTATCAAACGCGCAGCCAGTAGTACTAAACTTACAGACCGTAGTACCAAACTTACAGACTAGAGTGACAAAAGCTAAGACAGGAGTACCACATTTAAAGACAGGAGTACGAATTTACAGACAAGAGTACCAAACGTACAGACCGGAGTACTAACCGTTCAGTCACGAGTACTACACGTACAAACAGGAGTAATAATCTTACAGACAGGAAAACGAAACGTACAGAAAGGAGTACCAAACTTACAGACAGGAGTACCAAACGTACAGACAGGAGTACCAAACTTAAAGACAGGAGTACTTAACTTACAGACAGGAGTACCAAACTTACAGACAGGAGTACCAAATTACAGACAAGAGTATGGAACTTATCGACAAGAGTACCAAGCTTACTAACATGCGTACCAAACATACAGACAGGAGAACCACACTTACATAGATGAGTACTAAAGGTGCAGACAAAAGTACCAATCCTACATATATGACTACTAACCCTATAGACATGAGTACAGAGATACAGACATGAATACCAACACTATAGACATAAATACCAGCCCTACAGACATGAGTACCAACACTACAGACATAAGTACCAACCCTACAGGCATGAGTACCAAACATACAGGCGTGAGTACCAACCCTACAGACACGAGTACCAACACTACAGACATAAGTACCAACCCTACAGGCATGAGTACCAAACATACAGGCATGAGTACCAACGCTACAGACATGAGCACCAACGCTACAGACATGTGTACCAGCCCTACAGACATGAGTACCAACGCTACAGACATGAGTTCCAGCCCTACAGGCATGAGCACCAACGCTACAGACATGTGTACCAACCCTACAGACACGAGTACCAACGCTACAGACATGAGTTCCAGCCCTACAGGCATGAGCACCAACGCTACAGACATGAGTACCAACCCTACAGACACGAGTACCAACGCTACAGACATGTGTACCAGCCCTACAGACATGAGCACCAACGCTACAGACATGTGTTCCAGCCCTACAGACATGAGTACCAACGCTACAGACATGAGTTCCAGCCCTACAGGCATGAGTAACAACCCTACAAGCATAAGTACCAACCCTTCAGGCATAAGTACCAACCCTACAAGCATAAGTACCAACCCTTCAGGCATGAGTACCAACCCTACAGGCATGAGTTCCAACCCAACAGACATGTGTTCCAACCCTACAGACATGAGTTCCAGCCCTACAGGCATGAGTTCCAGCCCTACAGACATGTGTTCCAACCCTACAGACATGAGTACCAACCCTACAGGCATGAGTTCCAGCCCTACAGGTGTCAGCACAAGAAGAAGATATGCCAGCCGTGACAAAACAAGAGTCGCTGACTTCTCCACTTGATGATTATGTCACGCCTGTAACAAGTTTGAAGTTCACGAAACTTGATGTGATAATCTCAATGTTCGATTTTAATCTGTTTTTTCCTTTTGTTTGTGTTCTGATTAGCGTCTGCTGAGAGCTTCTTCCGGTCTCGTACTCACGTGGAATATCGAGATGATAGCAACCTACCAGGTAAGGTCAATGTTTGTAAGTCTGTATAATTCTTACGTTTGCTCCTTGTGTCTGTGTGTCTTTTTCTCTGTCTTTCTATCTGTCTGTCTATCTGTCAGTCCATCCAATATTATGTTCGTCCGTCCGTCTGTCTGACTGGTTGGCTGCCTGCCCGCCTGCCTACCGGTCTGCCTTCTTTCCCGCTCTCTTTTTTGTCCTTCCGTCTGTCTTTTGCTTTTCATTCATTCTTTAGAGAATAGTTCCCCCATCCAATTCCAGCAATGTCCTGGTTTCTGTTGCCATCTCCTTCAGCTTGCATCTGAGAGTGGACGAACAACCAGGACTCTGCCCTGGAGTTTACAGCCGGCGAACGAGAAAAAGAAGAAAAAGATCAATTTGTCTCTAGTAATCCTCAAATATTTGTGTCTCTATTTGTTGTTGAGTTCAGTTACTTCCTGATCATCAATTTCACTACTCGCTATTTTCGAGATACGGTAGCGTGATAAAAAATACATGTTTTATTTCCAAATACTATCACACTTCAACACGCGTTGTATCTTCCATACATGCAGTAATATAACATTTACGTCAGTGTCTTAACCAACATCTTGGTGAAATCTAGTCGACTAGACAGTTTAATGCGCTATTCGACTTTCATAAAGCGGTTAGCACTTCTGCGGAGCCGGGGCCAATCCATTATGTTTCTATTAGATTTGGAAACTGGACGCTCGCTTCCTAGACTAGGGAACGACGCATGTTTGTGTGTGTTTTAGAAAGTCATTTACTACCCGAAATCATCAGATTCGTCTTGTATGTGAATAAATACGACAGCACCCGCACGTGTGTGCGCTAGTGTGTGTGTATGTGTTCAAGTGTGTCCGCGCGTTGATTACTGGATGTGTCATTACGTCTAAGTAATCTCGTTCGGGTACATTTAGCATAGTCTCTCACACACATACTAAGGTACTAGTGCAGACAGAGGTAGACCAGTAGATAGACAAACCTCTCTTTTTTTCTTCAAGGTGGGACACATTACATAAGCGAATTATTGACGACTCTTTAGTGTCTTCACACTCGGACGTATTAGATTCACGGATAAACAGACCCCCAAGTAGTGTCTGCAAGATGAGACATGTGAGACCAATGATGGATAGACATACACGCCTTAAGTGTCTACAAGAACAAGATAGGACATGTTAGACCACAAGATTGATAGATCACTTTTAATGTTTACAAGAAGTTTTTCTATTACTTTTTTACCTAACTTTATAACTGAAGTACAAATTTAACCGCGCTCAAAAACGACTGCATGTTTTACTTTACTTTACTTAGTCGCTCCTCTTCTACCTTGGGGTGTAGAGGTTTGCCAGAGAGATCGCCAGACGTCTCTATCAGCAGTTTTCTTTCTGGCTTGGACTGCCTCCTTGCGGCCTCCATGCAGGCCGTCTGGCTGATTCACAGTTACCCACTACTTCCGGAGACGCATGAAGCACTCAGGTTCAGCCAAACCCTCCTCCTTTTACAGCCGGGCTTGGGACCGGTCTTAGCGGAGTTTTGCATGTTTTGCCAGTTTAAATTATTACCGCAGTATCCATCTAACGAGATTCAACGAAATAATGTATGCCCAGGCAATAAACTGTTGAATCTAGTGTTTCTGTCTTGTTTGTTCAAATTTACAACTGGGAAATTTTGCCTTTATTTTCTATATGTTATAGACCAATCGGCAGATGATGTTACCACGCTAACCGCCTTTACTTCCCAGGACTGCACCTGGTACTCATTCAAGTCTGGGTCGACCTTGGAGATATGATCAATTTAAAAATAGTCCGATACGACAAGATTTGAACACACGACTTTCCGATCCGCATGCGAGAGTCTTATCCGCAAAACCAAAAGCGACTCCTTACTACTGCAAGCTGTTTCTAACTTTTCCGTGTACTGTCCTAGTTTTATTGTGCTCATGTCGGTATGTTTTATGTTTTACTATTTTGACAGAAAGGAGAAAACTGAGTTTTCTGTCCCTTCTCATGAGAATTTTTTTTTTAAATTGCTTTGGATGAAATCGATGGCAGAACAAAATAGGAACTCAAACTAAGAGCCGTTTGTGTGTGTGCATAGCCACGAAAATGGCACCTAACCTAGATAGTGGCTGATTTTATTGGGCGGGGGATGGATTAAGGGGGGGGGGGGGAAGGGTAGGTCTGTATCTATTGATAATCATAGTTCAAAGGGAAGGAAGCACGTAAGCGTTTTCATGTGAATGTAGAATCAAAAGCTAATGAGTATAGGGGAGTTTTCGCGTCGGTTCTTCGATCGGAAGCTGGTATGCTATCTCTGAACGTATTGGTCGCCCATAAGTCTGATTTGTGACTGTCCATTATTGTAATATATTCTCAGAAAATTACTGTATTAGTTTCTGTCTCACTTCCACATCAGAATGGCTGTTGTAAACAGATATACAGAACCCAGTGGAAACTAAACGAATGGATAAATGGATGAATAATTAAAATGTCGAAACATTTTCGTGGTACATATCAGAAGTGTTTCCTCTTTCCTTTCCCATTACTCTTCGTGTTGACTGTCTCATTGGCAACCTCCTTAAGGTTTGCTTGTTTTCCCCTACCGTTGAATATCGTCCAGATACGTTGCTCACTCGCCTCTGGATTAGTCTGGTCAGTTATGGATGCTCTGTCCGCTATTCTGCTTGATTCACATGATTACAAAAAGCTTTTAGCAAGCATGTACTCCACGGGGAAGCAGTAGCAACCATCCTAACGCTGCTCATCTCTCCGCTCACCAGCATGAGATGTCTTATGAGAGCTGCCGGCGTGATGAGAAGAGATCAAATCAAGAATGAGGAAATAAGAAGACGACTAGGACTGAAACATGTCATACAATGCATTAAAGAACAATAAATAAGATGGTTTGATCACCTGATGAAAATGCCCTGGTACCATCTGCCACAGAGAGCCACGCTGAAGAAATATAATAAACACAGAGCAAGGGGAAGACCACGCAAGAGATGGAGCGACACCATCAGGATCAACCTAACAGAAATGAACACCAACTAATACAATGGATAGGGAAAATCCCACAAACGATCCTTACATCTCTCACAATCAGAACTGGCTACCTAACGTCAGTCTCTAGCAGTCTGTGTGTCTCTCCACTTAGTCCTCCTGTGGCATGCCACTCTTTGATAACGGAAACCATATCTGCTGTTTCGCTGCCAAGCGTGTAATACATTAACTCTTTCTCTTGTACCAATTTAATACTTTTAGAAATCAGCATGTGAATCTCAATGGTTAAAATAGCAGCATTATGACACGGGAGAGGTTATGTCAAGAACTGCGGCTGGTGCATGAGTGTAACAACTTGATAGGTGACTGTTTTTACTAATGTGGATCATGACGATTGGAACCAACAAGCCCAGCAACGGGTTTTATCCAACAGTCTCAGTCTCTTTCCTCAGAATAGTGGCTGCATGTCGAGAGCGTTCCCAAACACACAAAAAGAACCCCAAAGCTTCTGTGACGTTGCTTGATTTGTCTGGAAAAATAAGTGTACCTATGAACCTAAAGACGGAGTCCGGAAACAAACCAACGGTCTTCAGAGAGCGATGATAACTGTTGAACTGCTCTCCAAGAAGCCCCTCGTGTGGTTGTCCTTTCTCACTACCCTGCAACCTGCTGCAGTTTTCAGCAGGTTGTTCATGTAAGAGCAGCAAGTTGTTTCTTTACAGCTGATTGTGTTTAAAGAATCGCCGTTTATTCCTAGTTTTTAGTTGCATTGACAACAATGAAATCGCTTTCTACACTGGTACACGAAGGGGTAAAAGTACGGGTTCTTTTTCCCGGTTTGAGGCATAGTGGATGAATGGCGCTAGGGCTATATTGGTATAGACCAGTCGACAATCGATGGCTGATGTGCCAGTCTACCATTTAGGTCCCTCTAACCTAGAAGCCCTATCAGTTTACAATAAAACATCCACCATAGTGGGGTTTCGAACACATGACTACCTGGCTTGTAGGCAAATGTGCTAACAACTGGACTCCAGGGACCTCCGTCTTCCTTTGTGTCAGTATTTAAAAATCATTAATTCTTTTTTTTTTTTTTTAATCTATTGGTAGTATATGATTCCCTACCAGTTAACAACACAGTGTACACAGAGCTCTAGATGATGCTTAGTTTTCACCCATGTGTTTTTTCAGGCATTCATTTGGCCAGCCACGATTATCAGTGCCAGCCGACCTGCATGTATTTGCCCAGATCATGCAGGATGTTTCTGCTGTCTGATTGTCATTATCCTCTGCCACTGTTCGTGTGATGCCCCTAGGGACAGCTGTAGTGCAGAGCTCACGGGTGTTCTCTTGTCTGTGGCATATGCATACATTGTCAGTCAATGGTGCCGGTGTCTGCCGGGATAATCGAGCTCATTGTCTTCCGCTAACACTGGGCGATTGTTGGTGGGCTGGTGTATCACTGGCAGAACACTGGCAGCAGGGGGGTTTATGAAGTTAGTCTGGACCCTTTATGATGTATCATCGCCACAGAGTTTACACTGTGGCTAGGTCGATCATTTATACAATACACAGTTGTGTTTCGGTATCTGCAGTTTATCAGCCAGCACAGAGTACTAGGGGAAGAGGCTGGTTGAGAGCTTCAGACCTATAGATTTGTATTCCAGAGACTCAGGTTGGAAACCTAGGTAAAGTTTTTGGAAAAAATAGACCCTAAGCCTAACAGCAGTAATACCTGGTAATTATGAAAGACTGTAACTGAAAATGTTCCTTGACTTCTTTATTTCTGGGATGGTAGTCTGGTAGTCTGGTAATCTTAGTTTCAGCTTCATAGCAAACTGGTCACCCCATCTTTGCTCCGCTCCTGTGCCAACAAAAAACACACAGAATGTTTATCACAGTCCCTTGTGGAAAGTTTGACAAACTGCTGTCTCAGCATATCTAGAATACACACGCATTAAAGCATACGGTAGCCATTCAAAGTGCTAACACAAACAGTCC